GCTATGGGACATGCTAATGGACATGTATTTCTGCAATGTGTTCCCCTGTGTACAGAGAGACATATTCTGCATTTATTTCCTCTCTAACAAAATTATAAAAGGTCATTCTAGCTCTCATTTGAACCAACATTAATTGTAGTTTGCTCATTAACAACTGTAACAAACTGGAGGGAAGGGCCACAGCAAATGGAGCACAGAATACCTAAATCTGATGCCCTTTTTCTTCATATTTTAAGAATGTAATGAAACTTATGGAAACTATAAGTGCTAATCTGATAGCATTAACTTGTACTGCAAGAAATTATTAAGCCTTAGCTAAATTACTGTGCTCTGATTGCACTGGGTGCAGCACAAGGAATCTCAGTCCTGCTGCTGGCACTCATATTCATTCAGCAGAATGGGCTCAAAGGTCTTTTCCCCCTCAAAAAATGTAAATTCAACAATTCTTTCCAAACATGGATGGAAGGATCTCAAACCTTGTTTAAACAACCACAGAAGGCATTTCCTGCCCTTCCTTTCCCTGTGTAAGTATGGTGCTTATTCCAGCTCTTAACAATATTATTTCTAGGTTATCATCACTGATTTTAAGGTTGAATTTTGTAGTCTCTAGCTTCCAGCTCTTGTTAACAGTGCCAAAATAAATATTAAGGTGTTTGCATGCAATCCTATGGACTGAAGTATCCCAGACCTGATACCAACTATTTATATTTTACACTAGGAAAGCATAGGTGATGAGAATTTTACATTCTGTTTGACTAGGAGATGCAAGTCTAGAAGGTGGCACAGTAATATATTTCTAAAATTTCATAGCATGTCACTTCACAAATGTCAGAACTGACACAGTAGAGAAAGTCTGAGGAAATCAAGTAGAATCTGTCTCCAATAACACAAACACCACAGGGAGAATAGCTATTAGGAGAATAAACTCTTGGGATAATATATAGGAAGGCTTCAGGGGGGAAAAAAAACCAATGAACAACCAGTCAAAACTCCCAGCAAAAAACCTATCAAAAACCAAAGGATGATATTCAGATAAAAGGTGTTTTGGATGTTAAATTCCCTGCCCTGTTCATTAGCCTGCACCTTCACAGAGCTGCCTGTGCAGACGGAGGCAAATGCTGTGCTCCATCACTGAGAACAGCACAGGGACAGAGGGAGCAGCTCCACTGCTCTGGTGGGACTGGGAGCTCTGCTTAGCAAAGCCAGAGCTTTTGGTCCTTTCAATAAAATGACAGCAATTTGATAGTAATAAACATTAGGCTGTCAGGGTAATGTAGCAGTTTGCAAATAATGTTGACATTATCTTATGCTTCATGTCAGAATGTGGGTCTGCTTCATCAGCTGATTAATGGGGAAATTGGATGAAATTCTTTAAATCTGACAAAGGGAGCTTGGATTGCACTGAGAATAAATTTTGTTTTCACCTGTTCCTTTTAAGCCCTGGTATCATCTGCTGTTGTTGTTTGGGGGTTTTTTGTTTGTTTGTTTGTTGGCTTTTTTTTTGTTGTTGTTTTTTCACTAATATTGAGCATTTGAGCAAAGTTGTGACAAGTTCTATGTAAACAATAATGTTGTCTAAACTACTGGAAGTGCCAGTTAAAGAGGTTCTGGATCTGTTTGTGTTTTTTTTTTTCTAGAAATGCACAGTTCTGAAATAAGGAAGTTTTACTTTTTGTAGTGAGGTGTTTTTTGGGATTTGGTTGATTGGTTGCATTTTGTTAGTTGGTTTCTGTGTTTTGTTTTTTGTTAAAGTGCTTTCATTATTAACTTATTTCTCCCTGCTGCCACAGATTGTTGTTGCAGGTATTCTCTTTGTCATTGCAGCCCACCGTTGTAAGCCAGGCAATCTGTCATACCACAGCCCTCCCAACCACAGTTTTCCAAGTCTGAAGCTTGTTTTTCTTTCTAGTATTTCCTAGAAATGCATCTAAATCTAACTGACAGGCACCAGGAAGACTTGATTTTTGCATTCATTTCCTAACTGTGTGTACAATTCAAATGCATTTCTTGCCACTGAAGATGAGGGTCAGGAGCAGGATGCTGGACATTTATACAGATGCCAGATAAAATCATCAATAGTCTTCAGAAGGCAAAATATCACCAAGTAGTAATCCCCTTCAGAAGTGCCTGAGCTTTGTGCTGGGAGAACATCTGGCTCATACTGGTTGCTGTGTGTGCTGATTGTGGAGAATGATGGATAATTGATGGAGAATGATGGATATTCCCACCTGTCCATTCAGGAGAATGGACATGGATGGCTCACACAAATGGAGCATACAGCACCAATGTGCCCATTTCATGGGCTCAACTGGTGTTCAGGTTAAATGGGACCCCAGGAGTCCTCTACTGAAATTTCCTTCTCTAAACAAACTATGGGATCCTATAACATGGTTCAGTTTGATCCATTTGGGTCTTGAAAAGCTCTAAAGATGAGAAGGCACAATGCAGCTGGGCAATCTTCTTCACTGCCTGGCCATCCTCACAGGGAAAAAACCTCTTTCTATCCAGTGTGAGACTGATATCCTCCCATCACACACCACTGGGAAAAGCCTGGCCCCATCTTCCTGAGGACCTTGCCATGGGAGCTGCTGTGAGCCCCCCAAGGCCATCTCCTCTCCCTGCTGAACACTGCCCATCCCTCAGCCTCTCCTCCGGGGCATTCCAGCCCTGATCACCTCAGAGTCCTCCACAGAACTTGTTCTGGATTGGTCATGTGTCTTCTGTATCGATCTATTTAACTCTTAGTTAAGTCAGCTGAAATATGAATTAATCACTGTTAATTAATACCAATTAATTCCTGTAAACATGGTACCAGGTGCTCAGACCTGTTCTGTGAATGGTGATAACCTGTCCTTTCCATCTCTGAATACCATGGGCAAGAGGACAAGGATAACTGTTCTTTCAGGATGAGAGATTCAAACATACTTCCCAAGCTGGACAGAGGTGGTCTAGTCACTCAGGGACAGTCACTTAGTCCTTTCCCAGCTTTACTGGACAGGACCTCAAAAAGCCATTTGTTTTTGCTGGCATGGGATGACAATGATGATTGACTTTGGAATGAGTGTCAGTAAGTACTCCCAAGAGGCACTTGACACCCTCTACAGGAAAGTCAGCAGCCAGTATTAAAAATCAATTAGCATTTTCACAGCACAACCTTTGCTATACAATGCACAATGACCTTTATAGGCCAGAGAAGAGTCAGTTTAATGTGCTTACTATATAATGCCAGGTGGTAATGTCTTCCCTCACTTAGGTGGCTCATGATTAAACTCAATTATCTCAGCTACCAATTGACCTTTATACATCTCCCACTACTTAGTGAATGGAAGTTGGTAAAAGCTAACAGGGTAGATACATCTTGTTATGACAATGTCTTACAAGTGGGAGCGAGGCATTTCTGATATGCAGTGGTATCGAGCAAGTTTTGTATTCTTCCAGATAAAGGAGAACTTGTTGAGATGCAACCAGGCTACTT